ATAAAACACCTTTTTTTATTCATTGATATGAATAGAAATGAGGCAATTTGTGTTTTGGTGATGACTCTGTATCAGAAAGATGACAACAGAAGATTTGTCTATTAATTCAACCGAGGAGCATATAAAAGCTACTCATTTTGGTCTACAAAACTCAGTGCATGCAGATTAACTCAGGAAAAGGTTCTAAAAATACCTTTTAAATCATATTCTAGGATCGTTCATACACTGAAGGCAAAAGTTGGACAACAATTTGTGAAGTCAATTCATCTCCTTGTACATTTAATTTCCCTGGCTGTAGAACAAGAATAAAATTTACCTATCTTTCTAAAGCATTTTGTGATCTTTAATGAAATGCATCAAAAATAAAATATTAATAATGAAATGCAACAGAGAACCTACCTCATAGGCAAACACATTTCCAGTTGTCTTGATAGCCACAATATGGGAGTTATTGGTGAATACAGTAAACAGCACTGGACAGTGGTATTTACCTGATGAAGGGGAAAAAAAAAATATCTTAAATTTGGCATGAAGTCACTGCAACTGTTTTGAAATATCTAATTTCTGTTACCCCTTTGAAGGATATTTACATTATTCTTTTACATAAAGTGTAAATATAGTGTGCATTTAATGGTGGCTTAACTATGCTTTGATTCTTCAGTGCCAAACAGAAAAAGTAATACTTCAGAGAATTATAAAGCAAGGAACGAAAATCCAGTTTTGAAATCCACTGCCCTCAATCCCCCAACGCACAACTCTGTCCAACTTGCTTAATATCTATGAAGTACCACAATATAATTGTTACTGTTGTAATCACAGCTCTGTTGAGAGCATGAGCCTGTACCTTGTAACGTGCCCAAGTGCTCTATTTTCAGTGTTCTCAGGAATAAAAGTTTAGTTTACATCCAGCAAAAAAGTTCACAGCAGCCGTTAACGCTTTTAGGAGAGGAGAGCATTCTGTATTCAAATGTGGCAAGCGGAATGCCATTAAATCTGAACACATTATTCAGTAAGGAACCCAGCTTCTGTTCTAATCAAGCTGTGAATTTTCCCAGGAGGGTCAGCATAAATATTAAGCATGTCAACAACAAGCAAACTGTTGGAAGGCAATGTACAGGGAAAAAGAAAAATGTCTGGATGATCTCAGCAGAAAGCAATTAGAAGAAGGTTATTAATACTTGATCAGTTTGGTAGACCTGGGGGCTTGGGTGCGATTTTTGAAACAGGTTGCGCCTATTTGGTTCTTTTTTTCCTAATTACCAACTGAAAATCAAAACCAGCAGGGAGACTGGAACAGAGACTGCTCACAGCACCTGCACAGATAGGAGAGGCAAGCACCTACGGAGTATTTACCGATTAACTGATCAGCCAGAGGAGGCACGCTGACCTCCAGCACGCAGATGCAAGTAAAAGCTGAGGACTGTTTCTGTTAATGCCACCAGAGCTGAAGGAAAGCCACTCCCACACAGGTCTGAAATTCAAGAGGAAGTTTAGAAAGGGATTTTTGGAAGTGGCATCAGGGTGTGGCCCAACTTGATGGATGCAGAAACACGCTGGTAAAATGTGAGGCCTTACTCCAGCTACGTGAAAAAGAGTGAATCATCCATGTTTTCAGTTCTAGCAAAAGCAGAGCTGCTGAGGGCACACACTTGTTGATCTGGGTAGAAGGTACTCAGCTAAGGAGGAATCATTAAATGGAAGAAACTGCAATATCTGAAGACCTTTTTTATTGCAGAGGTGTGAACAGAGAAGATCCTATGCACACAGCAACCATTCTACACGTCAAGATTTAAAGAAAAGTTTGCTGATGGACAGAAATGCAACATTTTATTCTTCCTCTTTTGTTGCATCTTCCCTTGATCTATTAATGACACAGCAGGTACCATTTTAAGGAAAAGGCTTCTGAGACTGCATGGCTGCCACCATTCCACCCCAGCATTATGAACTGGGCTTCTTTAAAGAAAGCGCAATATTGCAATATCTTTCAAAAAACTTGGCCACGGTAACTATTGATCATTTTTTAACACTCTGCTCTTGAGACAGATGGAACACAAAACGCAGAAGAAATCCATCACCTAGAGAAAAGACCTTGTAGTCTATGGACTACTGGTAAGATAAGGAGACAGACACTCCAGAATTTTATTCCCACCTAATCTTTGCCACTCTCTTTTCAAAGAAATCATTATCTGCCTTGTAAAAGATGAATTCATCTCCACTGTTCTCTTTTATTCCTAGCATCCTCTCTCAGATGGCAGATTTTATATCTTTAACCCTGCAGAAATAAAACTACGCTGCTTTCTTGTGTACCGCTATTCATAAAACCCCACATGTTCATTTAAGTCTAATTCACTTTACAGACAAAAAGTTGCTCAAAACCAAGTGAATAGCAAATAATGCCGTAGGCAAGTTGGAAAACAGGTAACATATTACAGAAATGTAGCTTTTTCTGAAAATTTTCCCTGAAGTAAATAGTACCTTACTGCAGTAGTAGCTATAGTGAAGTGAAATTGCTGAACAATTTACAGCTCCCCAGCATAAAGAAAAATAGAAATGGAACTTCAAAGGTAAACATGTCATGCACAAGAAGCAGTTATTCTACTAAAAAAATAAAAACCATGATAGAAAATACAAACTATGGAACTTTACCATGAGTAAGACAAACCAGAATTTATTAGAGCCCTCTAAGAAGAAAAAAAAACCAAAACAAACCACAAAATTACTGCACTTACCTTCACTGTTTTTAGCAAAATTCAGCTTTATAAGTGATTTGGCATCTAGTTTCTGAAGAAAAATGAAGCATTAAAAAAAATAATCACAACAGAATCTCACTGTGGAAATAAAAGAAAACTGTAACATCAGTGTTAGGATTTTAACAGTACATAATTTATTAATTTAGTTATCTGAATCATCAGAACCCCAGGAATTTAAGTCACAGCCCACAAAACCAAGGCTCACTCACCGATCCTGAGAACTGGGATATGCTTATTTACAGCACTGTAGTTTGCCACAGTACAGTGCTAACCGGAGCGAACAAGCTCGAGAAGTTGCACGACTCTTTCTTAGCACAAATTGAATGGGGAGTTTGCATGAAAAGCTAAGAGACAAAGATCATGGCTGCTGATCAGAAGTGACAATTCAGAAGGGACCTCTGATGAAAGTCACAAAGCCAGCAAACCATTTTGGCAATCAATCAAGCTCGCTACCTTTTCTGAAATAGCTGTACTTTTTTCTTTTACTTCAGGAAATGTGTAGTGGAGCCCACATGATAACTAGCAATCATGAAGAGAAACAGAGGCAGAAATTCTCCGGGAGAGGCGCTTGGGGTCATGACGGCAGACCCAGGGGGGGATCTTTGGCCAGTTAATCCCCAGGTAACAATTCCACGGAAGACGGAACCGAGATAGCAGCCAAGGTCGGGAGGCTGATGAAATGAGGGCAATGTTCTCCCACTCCAGAGAGGACAATGCAAACTAAGCTAGCTCCTGCTCTCCCACACTTCATCAGAAGAACGTCTATGGCATTTTTCTGCTGCCCTCTCTCCAGAGGGACCTTCTGCCATGGGGTGGGAAGAGCTATCGGGCTGGCAAACCTTTCTGGACGATCAGGCTGCTCCCTCCCCACAGCCTTCCCTAAGACATGAAAGCCACAGCATGCCCAAAATAACAGTGTGCCTTCAGTAACATGACTGGGCAGGCCCACGTATGCCAGTCATTTAATAGGGTCGGTATACAATTTGGTCACATGGCTGGCATGATGGGGCATACCATGACCGGGCATACCGTGACCGGGGTTGCCCCACCAGCACAGCCCACCGGGACGGCTAGGGCTTGACTGGGGCACCCAGTTGGAGACAAAGTCCAGCCCAGTAAGTTGCAAGTCTGAGTCAGGATCTCAGATACAAAAAAACCCCAAACAACCCTTCGATTGTATCACCTGTCAGACCGTTTCACTGCCAAATTGATCATTAAAAGCACACGCAGCACAGGCCTTTTAAAAGAAACAATTGGTTCTCATCTTAAAACATGCACCTAAACAGATTAGGGAGGTTTTTATAACCAGCTCTTTATAAACAGCTACGAGTGGAGATCTGCCAGCCATGGTGCCGATGCTGCTAGTTCAATCATTATGGCAAAGAGCGATAACAAAATCATGCGAAAGTAAGTCAGCGGGCTTTTTCTGCCTAATCAAAATTCATACTCTTGGTTCAAAGAGTGCACGTTATGACAGCTGGGCTCACTTGTTTATAGGAAGGCAATTCTCAAATTGTTTTCAGCCAACTGGCAGGCTCATTTGCTGCCAGAAAGGTAACCATCTCTCTAACTTATTAGCAAGAAGAGCAACGAGGGCTAGTAGGAGTAAGATGGGGAAGGGAAGAGGCCAGGTTAGGTGATATTTAGTTAGGCAACGGAAGACCAGTGCCGCTTTTTCCTTAAGCAGATTCTTAAAAAAATCCAGCCCCAACATCTGCACGATGCTGGGGTACAGAGACAGACAGCAAAGGCAAGGGCAGGTTCTGAAATGACTAAGTAAACGCAGAGCTTTATTCATTTATTTATCTTCTAACTAGAGCAAAATTGTCAAAGAAGTAGTAGGGGAACAGCAGAGTTGCCAAAATGAACATATGATCCTGGACAGATCTGTTCAACCTAAACAACTTATTAACACAAAGCAGCATCCATCTGTGCACATGTTGTACAACAGCCCAAAAATTATGTTCCAGAAAAAGCTGCTTTAGAAATACAACTGCTGGAAACACTGATAATTTGAAGGAAGGCCTTTACATTACCTTCCTGGCAGACTTAAGCTATCCCCAAAACATATGAGCAGATCATCTTTAAACAAAAATGGCAACAGTTCCCTAAGAAACAGTTTAGTGGAAAAGACAGACTAAACTGCTGTACAGACTTTAAAGGTAGCAAAAGCTGCAGTACGCCATTTCATCTGTCAACATACGATGTATTCTAAGAAGTGCTGCCAAGTCCTCGGACTCTTACTCCGTACCCAGGGAAATAGTATGGTATTTCAGGTCACATCTTTCCATAATATGGAAAAAGGTTAGTTTTCAGCACCAGTTACTTATAGTGCATTGGCTGCTCGTGCTGGCATCTGTTCCCCACTGAGACCAGCACTTACAGTCTTGTATATGAACAGTAAATAAAAAAATAGCGATTTTCATATAGGAGTTGAAATACATGCACTGCCTGAAGTCTTTGTCCAGGATGAGAACTCTATACTAAAGTGCTGTATGAACGTTATAAACTTTTATTGCTGCAGATTGGCCTCCTATCAAGCTTGTGTTGAAGAAGTGACCTTGGCATGTCAGCTCACACTCTCTGGAGCAGCTCTGTGCTTCAGCTCCGCTGGCAACTGCTTCGCACCCGACCAGTCCCACGCTGTATCAGGAGGGAACTTCCTGCTACTGATAAAGGATGTCATTCGTGCAATGTATTTATGAAAAGGGATGGAAACAGGCTGAGAGTTGTATATGAGAAAACATGTGGGGGAAATATAGTTTGGTCAATACCTCAAGAATATTTTGAGCAGTTGATTAACATGTCTTAATGCACAGAAAGACAAGAGGGGGATTTAGTGTTTTGTCAAAGGAAACCTTTGGAGCACCAGAACAGCAAAACCAGGCGATGACCTGCTACAAAGGATTGCCATGGCCTACAAAGGCAGCTCAGCGCCCGAGACCAGGCTGCAGCATCGGGCAACCACACACAGAGCAGCCACAGCGGAGGGAGTCCAGCCCGCACGCCAGGACTTCCAGCAGGTCCAGTTTTGAAAGACCTACACATTACACAGGAAACTATGAAAGAATGTGATATAGAAAACCTGTATTTTTTTTTTTTCCTCTCCAAGTTCTTCATTTCACATGAAAACAGGGTTATCTTGCATGTGGGTGAATCTGCTTTTATTTATTCTCCATCAAAAGTCAAAGCTTTCCAATCACCATCACACAGTTTGTTGCCATGGAAATGACCATTATGACACAAACAGGCGCCAGTCTTCAGGGGGAAGAGACAGCAGGAGTGAATGAATCCTAAAATGAGTTAAAGTACTTGTTTCCATGTATTTCTTATTACTAATAAAGCATAAGAGAGCTGAAATATTGCATACACAGCTCAAGTTCAAAATGATTTCCAACCTGAGTTTCCCTGACACACACCTACCATCCAGTTTCAGCCAATCTCCAATGAAGAAAGCAAGGAAAAAATAATGTTTATTAAAAACACTCAATTTAATTAAAATTCTAAATTCTTAAGGAAAACGAAAGGCCACAAACATGTGCCACTTCCCCTAAGCAGAAATGAGCTGCATATTCATTTCTAAAAATATTTTATGCAAGAATACTGGAAAGCAGACACATTTCATGGCACGTAGTGCCAGCTGCTCCACAGCATGGAAGGGCTAAAAAAACAAACCCCAAAGCCGTGCAAGCTTTTTTTCTCAGCTGACTCCTCTCTCGCAGGCACACTTCCACAAAGGCAGCCAAGGCTACTTTTGGCCATGACCTACTTTTTTGCAGCAGCGAGAAGCCCCACCGCCCCATGCGCTCTCATCTGTCAGCTGACAGCACTCGTTCCTGCGGGATCCCAAAGGGCAGCATCCTTTATTAATACCCAAAGCAGAGGTTATTATGACACGTAGGTTAGTGGGGCACTGTGGCAGCTCGCGGATGAAGCATGCCGATTGTTTCGAATTAAATCATTCTCTGTCATCGCTGTGTGTCTCATGAAGATATGACCTACAATCCCCACGCATCAATTAGTTACACTCTCTGAATCCCTTTGGTCTGTGGCTACATGTTCTTCTTGTTAATGAGGCTCTGACCCTGTTGGATACGCACCAGCCCGAAAAACAATCAAAATGGGCTCATTTGATTCTCTACCCACACATGGGTAGAGTTGGTGACGTGCGGCAAGAGTTGTATTTGGTAAATACAGACTTTTCCACTCTATCAACAGTAATTGAGTTAGCATTAAATGTTCAACACTTGGGGATCGGACACCCTTCTGAATGGACTCGACAGGAATGCACAATAATCCAGAGAAGCTATGGCAGGGAAAAAAATGAATGTGTCACGTCTGAACTGGTTGACAACAAAAGGACAAAATCATCCAGGGCTGATGGCCATTTGATAGGTTCCCATCCCACCAAAGCAAGCAACGCAGTTACCTCAGATAGAAGAGAAAGCCAAACCAAATACTAATAATTAAAACACAGTGTTGCCTACCAAGTACCAAATTTAGCTTAACAACAGCAAATGAATTTTGCGTTAAATTCTTTGGTTCCTTTAAAGATGAGACCTGTTACTTTTTGCATACAACTTCACATTTAAGAAGCCCTCTTTCAATTTTCCCTGCTATAAAACCTTCAAGAAATATGGGGATATGAATTGAATGAATAGTATTGGAATAACTCCATGTATAATATTACTTATTTTAGACCTTGCAAATGGATTTAATGATGATAAAAGGCATTGGAAATCCTCATCAAGGCTATTATGGGAGTGTGATTGGAAACAGCAGCACTGTTTTAACAAGATAAGCCATCTTCATGTAGTTTAATATTTCATGAAAAATTTGGGGTCAGGAGCCAAGAGGCCAGAATAGTCTCATGATTCAAGGTATCGTTTCTATGTTCAACAGTAAAAATGCTAGATATTTATCATGCGGACAACTGTCTACCAAGTGCTAGAAAGACACCCTCAATTCAAATTCTTGGATGAAGCTGCTGTTTAACTGCAGCTTTCATCTACTACTGAACTGGTATGGAAA